GGGGGGGGGGGGGGGGGGGGGGTTTAGAGAGAGTTAAGAAGTAGTCTATGTCACTCTGTCTCTTTAACTATCTCCACTCGTAAAGTCACGTCTCTTGTATTCGCTCTTGTGTTGCTGTGAAAGACACACTTTGACATTAATAGAACGAGTTATTTGCGCAGGCGCAGAAGACGAGGAGCTGTCCCCCGCGGCGCGCGTGTCCCTGAACCTGTCGTTCAGCTGCAAGCGGACCAAGGTGCGCGTGACGTGCGCCACCGCGCCGGCGCAGGGGGGAGGGGGGGGCGCGGGGGGCGCCGCCGCCGACGGGGGGGACGCCGCGCACTGCGACGACGACCGCAAGATGTACCTGCAGGCCGCCATCGTGCGCATCATGAAGCAACGGAAGGTACCGCCTCGTGTATTGGACTACTTGATTGTACAACAAACTTTCAACCCCTATTTCGTCCCTTATTACCTAGTACATAGTTCGATCATTAAGGCGGGAATGTGAGGACTGCTTGGAATGTTTTCCATGAGTTTTAAAAATTGGCAATATTGTGTTTGATTGTGATTTTAATGTGCTCTTTCTGATTTCCATTTTGCATCTTCGTACATGCGCCGCTCGCGTCGCCATCTTGATAAAATGGCAGCCAAAAACTGATTTTTGCAATATCTCTTTTCCTGTGCATTTTACGAGAAAAACGTTGACTACAAACATAACAAAGTCAATATACCTCTACAGTCCGGACTTCACTAATAGTTTGCGCTCGGCGATGATGAATCAATCAATATATTAATATTAAACGGTTTTATTTAGCGTGCGTACTTCTGCAGGTACTTCGTCACACGGAGTTGATCCAAGAAGTAGTATCCCAAGCTCGGGGCTCGTTCGCGCCCTCTGTCGCGATGATCAAGAAATGTATCGAAGCACTCATCGACAAGCAATACCTCGAGAGGGCGCCCGCGGCGCTCGACACGTACTCGTACCTCGCGTAGGACGAGCCAATGTAAGCGCTGTGCCGAGGTCATACGGGCCATTGTCGCGTGATACAAATTTAATGTTTTGTTTCTAAATGTCTCAGGTCTCGGCGCTCTCTGACACTAGTGGCGCCACTGTCGCTACACCGCTGACATCTGTCTGATAGATAGTGAAACACGTGAATGTCAAAACATCTCGTTTCAAAGATTTTATATTGAGATTGATTACTAAACTACGTCCCGCGCTTGTATTTTAAAATTGTATAAAGTACTGTTTTATTGTAATTTAATATTATTTAGCATGTCTGTCCGTATATCACTAACTTGTCTATATCTGTTCTGTCTCTGCTCTCATTGTCTAAGGTTTGATTTCCGATTACTGAAATGATGTGTGAAACACTAGTGTGTTCAGTGGTTAGAGTGCGGTGTCGCGGAGGTAGCGCGTTCGAGGCCGGCCGAGGCAGTGAGCACATCTGTTGTATATTTAATGTACAATAATAATATATTATGTTTAACGGAGTAGAGGCACATAATTATACATATATTATAATAAACTTGTACGAAGTCGTTACACATTCTTTATTTTATCCCCCTTAGCGAATCCCTTCTGACGAAGTTGCCATCAGACGGACTGCCCGAGGGATTGTGCAAATGGGTGGCTAGCTTTTTGTCGACGCAGAAGAGATGATAGCACCGGGGACGCATGTTACACGGGCCGGCAAACATCCCTCGCTCCGTTGTGGAAGAAAGCCGCGTAAAACTTGTGTCTCAAATCGAGAGTACCTTATGCCGAGTCTCCGATTGGGGTCGGGACCGTATGGTCCGGTTCAACCCTTCCAAGATACAAGTTTGTGCGTTTACCGCTAAAAAAACCCATTCGTTGTGGCCCCTAAATTCCAAGGCACTACCCTTAACATCTCCAAAAGTATAGGTATCCTTGGTGTCGACATATCTAGTCACGTCCAGCTCCGTAGTCACTTAGAAGACAAGGCCAAGCTGGCATCTAAAAAACTCGAAGCGCGCGGACAAAGACTGCTTTTATATAAATCGCAAGTTCGCCCCCACATGGAGTACTGCTCTCATCTCTGGGCAGGAGCGCCAGCATACCAGCTTGGACCTTTTGACAGTAAGACTTGTTGACGATCTTATATGTACTTACGAGCGGTATCGAGCGCTTAAGTCTAAGGAGAGATTTTGCCTCCTTGTGCGTGTTCTACCGCTTGTATAATGGGTTGTGTTCTCCGGAATTGTTTGATATGATGCCCACGGCCACTTCCCATCATCGCACCGCTCGCCATCGACAGAGAGTTCACGCTCACACATTGGAGCCCAAATGGTCCCGTACAGTTCGGTTTCAGAGGAATTTTCTCCCACGGACCCTCCGATTGTGGAATGAACTCCCTGCCGTGGTTTTCCCAGTGGGTTATAACCGAGCCTATTGCCATATACCAGGCACAAATCCAGACTACGTGCTACTGCAGAGGTTTTTTTAATAAACCTAGTAATTGTTTGCCCGAACCCGGGGCCCTTTGCCCAGCAGTCGCACTTGCGACCACTTAGCCAACGAGGTAGCATGATTACTAAGGTACTTGAAATAAGGTTGTAATTTGTACAGCGCTCATTACAGAGTGGCTGCAAAATTCACTGGACGTGATTGTCCATTTTACAGTAATATGTAATATGCGAGACTACGGGGACAGAGTCTCAGGTTCAATTCCCGCGTCATTCAAAGTACATAATAGTGTTGTTCACAAAATTGTCAATTTAATTAATCTCACCTCCTACGACATGGGACTCGTAACATGACTGAGGGAAAGTACGTAAATACGACATGTGCACGATTCGAAAGTGCAATAACTGAATTATTATTGAAATAGATTTGCAATAATGAAATATTACAACAATATCTAGAAACACAGTAACACTATACACGAGATGTCACGTAGTCTCAGATAACGATATAGTTCAACTAATTCGACTAATATTATAAATGCGAATGTTTGTGTTCGTCTGTCAAAACGGCTAAAGAAATCGGGATTAAATTAGGAACAGGGATATAACACATATACTGTTTATCCCGCGGGATCCTTCGCCTCGGGCGAAGCCGCCGGCGTAATCTAGTATTATGAAGAGAAAGCATGTATGTACCTCTATGTTTGTCACATTTTTACACAAGAACTACTGAACCGATTTCGAAAATTCTTCCATCAATAGAAAGCTGCATCTTTACTGAACAACAGTATGCTATAATGCTATTTTTTCATCTGCTCGAACTTATTTCACGCGGACGAAGTCGCGGACAGAAACTAGTCAGAACTGTCAGATGGTGTCAAACAGACGTGACATTATGATGTAACGTGTTCATATGTGTCGCTGGGGGGATTGACAGGTGTATGTTATTTTTTAAGGGGGGGGGGGGAGAAATCACCGAATTATGCTCCCGCCTGGGTGAGGCGGGAGGGAGTGTCAGACTTAGAGTCTTACTGACTAAAAATCACCTCGTTCCTACTGCTGCACTTCGAGCCGGAGCCCCGGTAACCCGTTAGGTTCGCGGGCCTGCGGCCGGCGAGCAAGGGTGGCTCCCCGTCCGACCAGAAACAGACCCGAGCGTACGGCGCGTCGCGTTCCGCGCGCGCCTCAAAGAGCCATCAGACCACCACAGATGAGGTCTGTAGATGAGGTTAGTTCAAAGATTTCTTCGTTTTAGCAAGATAGACTGCTAAACAATATTTGAGCAGGTTCAATTCCCGAGTAGTGCAAAGTACTACGAAACTGGTGTTATGCTTGTCGCCTGTTACATGGAAGTTATCATCAACCCAACTTGTGGTAAGATTAGCACGAGCAGACGCATCACCTGATGGTAAGCAACCAGCGCCCCCCATGGACACTACTAGTGGTAGTTGCTTGGAGATGTGCCCTAACTGGTGTAGCACTAGAGGAGCGCGATGCCGGCCTTTTTGGGACTAAGAATTTGGGATTGAAATAGGCCTCCACTTAGGGGAGGAATTAGGACTCCACTGCCCTCATTCACACGACTGCACACGACGCTATTGTTTTATAATTGACGGGCCGACGTTTGCAGAGGGCAAACGTCGGCCCGTCAATTATATTATCTCGCCTGGTGGTGCACGATGATGCGGTCCACGATGGAGCACGTCGACCCATAAGCTGTTTGCTTTGGTTGTTTGAAGCCGGTGTTCCTATGAAACCATAGTATCACTCCAGTCGAGTCGTCGCCCATTCGTGCCGAAGCACGACTCCCCCACGTGATCATCCTCGATTCATAGACTCGTCAACAACACGAATAGTTTCACAAAATACACGATAGTGAGTTGCGGAGTTGTGTCACTGTGGCGACACTGCGATAGCGGCGCGTATATAGTCGCCGGCGAAACAACGACAGACAAGTTGCTTGCACGACATCATACAATGAACTCCTTAGTCGCACTGTTCTGCTTGGCGGGTCTGGCGCAGGTGAGTTCAATTACTTACTTATTTCATTTGTTATTCTTAATATTTTATGATTTGCTGTATAATTTATACCCTAAAACTGTCGTGTGGTGATGGCAAAGTAAATGAGATAATTATGTCACCACTGCTACTGTTCCCGCGGGTGTCATATACCCGACTAAACAAACTAAGGTGCCTGAGACCGAGCAATATGTTCTCTGATAAACTTGAACTGTGATCTCCAACCGCCTGCCTGCGGAGATTGTGGCAAACCCGTCTTATATAGAGGAGGCCAACTTAGAACTTCCCATGAAATGTAGCTGTAACCAAATATCTATTAATTTATTTTTAACTAGCGACCCGCCCCGGCTTCGCACGGGTGCAATATGCATGTATTATACATATAAACCTTCCTTAAGAATCACTCTATCTATTAAAAAAAACCGCATCAAAATCCGTTGCGTAGTTTTAAAGATCTAAGCATACATACGGACATACAGCGAAAGCGACTTTGTTTTATACTATGTATTGATATTGATATCTGTATTCCAGGTCGCGTACTCTCAGTACGCCTACCCATGCGCAGCAGCAGCACCAGCCCCACTTCTACTACCAGCGCCCGCGGCCCCCGCGCCCCTGGTTCTCCCGGCCCCCGCAGTAGCCCCCGCCAACCCCTGCGCCGTGCCCCCAATACTCGCCGCCCTGGCCCCCGCACTCCCTACCCTGGCACCTGCGTTAGCTAACACAATCTCAGCGTCTGTCGCCGCGTCGCTACCTCCTCTACTTGACGCAGCTTTACCTACAGTGCTGACCTCTGTGTTATCTGCCGCTGGACCTCTACTAGAGGCTGCGTTACCTCCAGGTTGTGGTTGTGCCCCAGCTCCTTTAGCTCTCGCAGCCCCCCCAGCCCCTCTCGCTTATGCTCCCCCTGCACCCCTCACTTATGCTCTCCCCGCCCCTGCTCCCTGCGCTGCCCCCGCGGTGACATACGCTGCCCTCCCCCCTCCACCCCCTATGTACGCGGCCCCCGCTTGCGGATGCGCCCCAACTTCGTGTTTGTGTTACTAAACATGTTGTAAATTGTTTCTAAAGTTTCAATAAATTGAATTTTCATTAATAAGTTGTGTTTTGATTGCTTTTATTTGTGACGAGCAAGTTGTTATGCGTCTAACAGCCGCACTCAGAGACTTTGAATGATCACTTAAACTATTCCTCAGTAGGTAACGATTGTGTTCCAAAAACAATTGCTAAGGACTGGGTTAAGAAACCATTAAATGATTGTGACAGTAACA